TTTCAGTAGGGCTACCAACTCATCCCAACTATTAATTTTATCTCTAACACTCATATACCAAATAGCAGCATTACCTTCAAATAACTCAATGGCTGAGCGAAACAGGATGTCTTCGGAAATATTCCGAGACCTAGCAGAATCTCTAACTTTCTCTAAAAATGTGGGAAGAGCTTTACTCTCACCATTAAACTTGATATGTAAATCAGAAATAATGACAGGAGTTGAAACCTGTATTATTGGGGTTGGGACTGTACAACTGGGAACTACAGGGACTGAAACTGGGCTACTAGTGGATGGTTTTACTATATCATCAAACATTTCCTCTTTTTCTAACACATTACCCTTCAACACTAACAAATCATCTTTACACTCTTCAACAAACTTTAATACATCTTCCTCAACATCATTCATAGGGAAATTTTCTAATCTGGTATCTAAATGTGTAGACCTTGTCTCAAATCTAGCAAAATCAGCTTTGTTTGATTCTGCATTCATTGATTGAGCAATACTATATAAATCTTTTATAATCAACATGATCTCATTCAACTCTTCCTTAGGATCTACTACATTATTAACCAAATCGACTAAACTTGAAGACGAAGTGGCCTCCTTGGCCAACAAAGCTCTTAACATCTTTCTCCTATCATCAACTGTCTTATTTGGGACATTTTTACCTCTTATGAAAAGCTCATAAGATAACTCTCCTGATTTCAAATAATTAACCTGGGTAGACTTCATTTTTCAAAAATTGGATGAAAGCAAACACACAAAATAACTGAAATCAACCTCAACAACAAGTAGAAAATATGACAATTTTAAGAAACAACCGTTTCCATTTATCACCTGATAGTAAGTCTCACTTGCACTCCCGCGTACTGAAATCCAAAACTCAATCAGTTTGCTGCAACTTCTGCTCTTGACCTAGTAATCAGTTGGTAAATAAAAATGAGGTCTATAACCTGTCTCCTAAAAGTTCACACTTCCACTAACAAGGACTAAAAAAAATGGTTTCAAATAACATGAGACAACATGGACACTAACAAACAACATAAACCGTACATACAAGGAAAGACAAAATACTAATAATATTGAAAACTTGACCTTTGAGTGAGCTACACTAAATAACACCAAAATAAACCAACTCTTGTTCCGAAAACTAAATGAGACTGCTCCTAGTCAAAACTAAAACAGCATCTCCTGATCACAAATATTACACCTGTGGTCATTCAGATACAAGAAAGGATACGCAATAAACAAACAGTCTACTACTGAGACTAAACTTGTCGAATCTTCTCTACGACTCACAATGACTACCCCTCGTACAACAACATTAATTAACCCTTGGCATTTAAATACACCTTCAGAGACGGTTAATTAGAAGACAAACTGCATAATACTACTTCTCAACTACATAGCTCAAAAGTCACTCAAACGAATACACACATTTACTCAAAATGACCCAACAAATAAAAAATTACAAAAACCGATTATTCTGTAAAATTTGTCGAATCAATAAAAAAATAAATGTAACAGTAACTGTATAATTTGCTACTGTTTTTAATTTCTTTTCAATATCAATAGTTCAATTAAAACTCATATTTAAATGTTCAACTCAAATATTTGCTTTCATTTACCATTACATATAAGAAACAATACATATGTTAACATATACAAATATAAATGTTGGTACATAATACATACATTGTAATACAAATACACTACTGATTGTGAGACACTTTGGGGCACTATTCAAAAGGAAAAAAGTTTCATATAAATGGCAGGGAACTGGGGAAACTGAAAAAGATATGTGGCTTGGGAAAAAAGGAAATCAAAATCTAAAAGAAACGGAAATATTCAAAAGCCCCTAGGTTGGGCGACAAAATTGTAACGACTATTTTGCTTACCACAGGGTAAGAATATGGGGGACAAGATTGGGCAAACAAAATTATCGAAACAAAGTGCATACGGACACTCAGTTGGTTGTTGGAGAGCTGGGTCGTGGATAAGTTGAAGATATTGGGGGTTGGATTGAGCAACTACAAAAAAAAGAAATAAAGGGGTACTTATACAAATCTCTTGGGACAAACAGAATGAAAATTAACGGAAACACCTCAAGAAATTTAATATAGGGCGCCACTTGAGGTGCCCAATTATACCTATTACAACCACTAGTTGTAACTAGGGAAATAATTGTATATCAAAAACATAGAAAAAAAAAAATATCTTTTTCAAATAAAACTCAAAATAGATCAGAGAAACAAATTAAACATTTATTTTTGTCTCACCAAACAGTTTTCAAAAATACAGATTTTACAAGAACATATTATATAAACATAATACAAAAATTAGCAAAAAACTTACGTGCTTATTTGTCTACAAAGGAGATTGCTATAAATATTTACAAATTTTACTGAAATATTAACTGTTGTACTGTTAATGAAACTGTGTCAGAAATAATTTATTACAAATAAAGAAATATCTTTAAAATGAAAACATTCATAGAGAGGTTAATCTTCTTTAAAAAACCAAGGCAAATTATTGTCAAAAAAAATAATAAAGTTAGCTGCTAGCTGTCAACATAAAATCTTAATCTTACTTACAACGGAGAACAAATCAAATTGAAAGCATAACCACACTCTAAGATTTACAATATTAATTATTAAAACTTTTAAATTGTATGAAAGCAATTATTATTTTAATGTTTCTTTTCCTTCAAAAGTTTAAAACAAAAAAGGGTTACCTTGGTTTCACTAAACACACTAAGATTTTTGGGGTTACCTTCTCTGCCACACGATCAAATCTATTTCCATACTGTGAGACATATTCTGGGACGGCTTCTTAGGACAAATATTACAAACTTGAGGTTAAAAATTTGGAACACAAGACTTTGGAAAGGGCTTCTTAAAAAACAGGAATACATAAAACTGGACACAACGGCAACATGTGAGATTATCTTTCGAAAATTTTTGCAGGCAACACAAATCCCTTAGGTACTTAGAAAAATGAAAATAGTGATTACTCCTTTCAAATTTGACATATTACATAGAATATAGTCTACTATTTTCAACACTTTTTAGCCGGTCTCTTTACCGACTTTCTACATTGTCAGCCGTCTGCCCAGTTTCAAATCTTTTCTTGGACTCTACATTGTATAACATCTACACCGTTTCAAATCTGTTCTTCGACTCTTTTGCTTCGTTACATTTTACAAGAAACTAGCCAAAAATTTCCCTTCCGTCTTGCAGCTAACCTCTCCACAAACTCCAGAACCAAAACAATATCCCCTCGCTTGTATCGACAAAAAAACAAATTTTAAATGTTCCTTTATTGCCTAAACAAACAAATATTCTTTTTTTTGACCCTCGACTAATAACGAAAAAACAACTTTAATATTAGGGGAATTCATGATTTATTGCGTTTTTAACGAAGAAAACAAATAAAACCTTTTTTTTATCAGGGGGCATCATAAATTTACATAATACAAATTAACAAAATACGTGCGTATTTTAAACTTGAGTTTTACCTGGCTTATAACAAAGGGTTCGATATTTGGATCTAAACACAGACAAAAAAAACATCTATATTTACTTTTGAATCGGTAGAAATATACGCATTTAAAAATCTCGTCAAAAAACTTGAAATATTTACAACATACCTACATTTAACTTTATTGATCGATTTCTTGGTAGAAACAACAGGGACGTACCATAGAAATATTTTCTATACACTTTAAATAAAAAAAAACGCTACAAATGTGTGTAATAAAATTGTTAAAAATAATTTTTTTTCAATCCAATTTTCTTGCTTTTGTATTTACTTTTCTCATAAACTAATCACTTCAAGTATCATGTATTATACATTTCTGAAATCAGTACAAAAAGGAGAATCCAAATATAAAATAAAAAAAGGGGTAAGTAATTTAAAAAAAATAAAGGGTTGATACAGGGGGTGAGAGGGTGCATTTTCCAGCAAACCTTAAATATGATATTATGCCTCCCCTTCAGATATTAATTAAAGTGTTTTTGCGTTTTTTCCAAAAAATTAGAGGTTCAAAGGTTATTTAAGGTGGATAGTTTTATCTGAAAAGTACTGTATAATAAGCCTAATTAAAAAATGAAAGCACTGCATTTGATTTATATAAAATCTTATCAGAATTAACTAAAATACAAAATAAGAAAATTATAGATTACCTTCCTTATTTCCAGAAATAATTTGACACTTGAGGGGTATGTTTGCTCCATGCGTTTTACTATTTACGATAGTAAGAGTTTTTATTTTATATCCAACTGTAGCATTCTCAGGAACTTGCAAACTGTACGAAGAATCAGCAAATCTGAGACCCACTTCCGGCGCCACTGTGGCTACATGTTGAATATAAACGTCAACCGTAATAACTGATGATAATTGAGGATCGCCCAAGTCAAAAGCCCTTACGTCAACCTAAAATAGTAAAAAAAAAATTAAAACCTGCAATACTTCAAAAATTAGAATTCAAAAATTCTAATATTTCTTGGTATTTAAATTGTTGAATTTTATGAAATTTCAAAAATAAAAATCTATTTGTCTCTCCAGTTTAATTTCGATTTTCTAACCACCAAAAGGCTCAGACACTATTTTTCTACCCTGTTGATTAACACACTTTAACAAATGGTAAGTGATTTATTTCATCGTACAGATTTGAAGACAGAACGCTAATGAATTACGCCAAGTACTGTTGTTTTTTTTAATTAACTGCTAATTTTAATCACAATCAAATATTCCATATATTAATAATTTATATATAAACACTATTTGTTTAGCAATTATTAAAAATGGATATTAATTACCTGATACTCTGTGTCAATTTCTTTTTTCAAATCATTGGTTACTTTTAATACACCTGTGTCAGGGTCAATTTGGAAGTACTTTGCCGCTTTTCCTCTTCCAACTATTTCGTATCTAACCTAAAACCAAAGTGTGTGTTATATTTATTTAAAAAAAGGTAATTTAATACAGCTTACCTTATTTCCAGGAGCAGTTCCGTCAGAATCAGTAGCTACAAGAGTAGTAACAACTGTACCAATTGGGACATCGTCTTCTAACGTTATGGGATGTGGGATTATTGTGAATACGGGAGGAATATCGTTTCGATCCTTAAAAATACAAATAATATTAGCTTCTTATAAATATAACAAAATAAATTATAACAAGCAGGAAAACACGCTGAACTAAAGCCTAACATTCAGTCTCTTACATAACAGCTAATTTATGGCAGTCTTATCGAATTTTCCCTTCAACTTAGGTATAAGTGCCTTTCGTGGAATATACCGTTTGCTTAGCTTAATTCAGGTTGTACCAATTATATTTTTTTATTAAACACTAAAGATTTATCTATGAACTAAATAACAGTGATGTGATTTATTATTGGTCTTTTAATTACATAAATATCTTTTATATAACAGATTCTTTTATTTGAACGAATTGCGAAATTTGGGATAAAGTATAATTTTATTTTCATATAAGTATTTCTCATTCATAATCTAATGCCGAGATATAAAATGTTGGTTTTCTTATGATATGATTTTAATTTTAGTTTCGTATAAGCACTTCTTACTTGTAATTTAATACCTTAAACACAGACTGTCTATTTCTTATCGGGATGATGTATTTCTTCTAGAATCTTTTAATAACTTATTGTTCGTTACACAATATTAAAGATTAGCTTTGTTTTAAAATTTTCATTTTATTTCTTTGTCTGAGCTCGTTTCCTTGCGAGGGTAAGCTATTCAAGGATGGTGCCCAATTCATTTTAATTTTAAAGATAATACAATAATACAAACAGCTTGTCATTGAATTTTGAAAGAACCCCACAAAACTTCTTCCTGACACGAGTAAAAGGGACTAGAATGGTTATGCATATAGTAAATAGTTTGCTTACGTTACCCTAGAAATACCAGAGGAAAAATAAAAAACAAAAAAAATAGTATTATGCAAAATAGGACATCCCTAGGGGGGAAAGGAATAGTATTGGAAATGATAAAGAATGGTGAACAACCCACAATAAAAATACTAGAAATAATATTCAATATATCTGTAATATATTTATACTCTTTATATTAAAATAGATCTTTATGTTTAACAGCTTGGTGAAATGCTCATAATGGAAATAAATATAAACCAGAAAAATATATACTCAATAACCTGCTATCAGTTCTTACACTGTAGCATTTTCAATTTCATTGATTTTTTTAGTATATTGAAACCTAATCGTATAATAAAATATATTAAAAACTCCTTATATATTTTAAAAAATGAAACGAAGAATTTTTCCGTGTTGTTAGTTCGTATCTTTCAAAGTACACCAAAAGTGTTTCGTCGCCGAGTAATAAAACCATTTGAGAGTTGTTTATTTTACTTTGGCAATTTCTTTTCAAGTTTATGCGTCGCAAAAGGATATGTACGTCGTTTCGTGGTGTCTTGTTATGTCAGCGTTTGTATGTATGCGTTCAATTTTAATAAAATTTCTTGACTCTCGTTGAAACCGCGAGCAAGAGCGGTTCAGCGTTATGTCCAAATTCATGTCGAGTTTGTAAAATTTTCTGTTTTTTTCGTTGATTTTGGTGGAAATGGGTAGCAGTAGTGATATATTTTGTCCAGTATGAAGTGACCGGCATTAATTTGCCAGGAGTAGGTTTTCGCTCGATATTTCGAGATTTTTGAAAAGTCTGGTTCCTGTTGGAGGGTTCATGATTTTTTTTGAGAGTTCCCGTTTTCCCTGGTATGTTCCGGCCCCCAATGGATGTCCTGTTTCTGTTTCGGCCCCAAATGGATGTGTTTGCTGCTGATCTCCGGATGGATTCTACAGAGATATAACAAGTTCTTTTTATGAAGTGGAAATATGTAAATCAAGGTAACTTTTTTTTTGTGTTCAAATTTTAAACTAAAGACAGAAAATTTTTTTTATGAAATAATAATTGCTTTCGTTACATTTAAAATTGTAAATTTTAGGTTTTGAGTTGAGCTGTCAATTTGTGTGTTTAGTTTTTTTTTGAAATTTAATGTTAACTTATGACAGCTCGTTTTTTATTATTTTTTTGGTTATTAGTTTGTTTTATTTTTAAAACAAGGTTAACCTCCATATAAATTTGTAGTTTTATGTAGTATCTCCAACTCCTGGAGTTTGTAAGCGGATGACACGTAAGTTTTGTATTTTGTATTTCTGCATTTTATAACTGTTTGTGGTGACACATAAATAAATGTTAAATTTTGTTGTCTTAACATTTTATTTTTTTTTGAGCTAACACTTTTTTGATTTTTTTTGAAAAAGATATGTTTTGTTGTTGTATAATTATTTCCCTAGTTACAACTAGTGGTTGTAATAGGCATAATTAGGCACCTCAAGTGGCGCCCTATATTAAATTCCTTGAGGTGTTTCTTGTTTATTTTTATTTTGTTTATCCCAAGAGCCCTTTATTTCATTTTTTTGTAGTTGCCCCATTCCAATGCCCTTATCTTTTACTTATCCTCGACCCCAGCTCTCCTACGAAACCCTGAGTGCCGTTCGCATCAGTAGCGATTATTTTGCTTGCCCTATCTCCATCCCAATAGTTTTTTCCCACAATTTTCTATCTCCCGTATTAATGCCCCCTGTGGTAGGCAAAATATATTTCGTTACAACACGCTGTTGTGGATAATCACAGTGCAGTTAACAACCAAACTGGATGGCTATCAGTCTCTGGACCAGGCATTATTTAGAGAGTAATAAGTTATAAAAACATTATTTGAAAAATCGATCAAATACAAAATAACACTTTGGATCATAATGATAAATTATAAAAGGGCAGTTGATTATGACAGGAATTTGCTGTTCACGAATGAATAAAAAAATAGCCAATAGAAACGAATTAACGAATCTAAGAAGGGCTTACATTCGATGATGGACGGCTAAATATTTAGTGAAAACTTAAATATTATTCTACTGATCTGGTCAGTTTTAAACAAAAGCAGAACTCACCTCAACGTTTACGATAACTTTTGTAGTACTTCCATTATTATTTGACATATTTTCCAAAGTACCAATAATAAGTATATGCTGGTTCTCTTTTTCGTAATCAAGCCCTCTCGTTGTAAATATAGCTCCTGTGTTTTCTTCTATTCGGAAAAGATCTGTAGGTCCTTGATGAATGACGTAGGTGATCTTTTTGATAGTGTCTGGATCGATTGCCTGAAAACATAAAATATATCACAAGAATAAAATGGTGGTATAATAATCAATAAATGATCATACAAATGCAAATAAACGTGTTTATATAACACAAGAATCGGTTTTTTATTGTTGTTATATAAAATTTTCATTAGGAGACTGAACTTGGTAAAAATTGAATGAAAACAAGAAGTAGTCGATAATAATAGGTTAAGTAAGGTTAAGGTTGCGTATATTAGAAGCAGAAATTACAAGAGCTCAATTTGGGCTACGTAATATAAAAATTTATAAAAAAAATATATCGACCGGTCCAAAAATAACACTCGATGAAATGGAAAGAGCTATAAAGCTATCAAAAATAGGAAAGCAAACCGGTGCAGGTGAAATTCCAAGCGAAATAATCAAACTACTCGACAATAGGGGTAAACATTCTCTTCTAAGCGTCTTCAATAAAATATACGAAACAGGACATATAAAAACAGACCGGCTACTGACAACATTTGTAATGATACTGAAAAAAAATAAATAAAAAATAAATGCCAAATAAATAAGTGTAGCGATCATCGCACTAGATTCACAATTCACTAGATTTACAATTTGAAACACAATTTGGTTTCAGAAACAACCTTAGAACCAGAGAAGCAGTTTTCAGTTTGCAGGTCATGGTTCAAAGATGTAGGAATATCGAACAATTGGTATATCTATGTTTTATCGACTTTAAAGAGGCCTTTGACAGAGTAAACCATGACAAACTTACAGGTATCTTGCAACAGGTGGGAATTGATGACCGAAACCTCCGTATTATCAAAAATTTGTATTGGCATCAATGTGTAAACATACGAATTGGACACAACACGACGTGGAGTGAGGCAAGGATGTATTAAGGATATATAAATAGTTATTTAGGATGTATAAATAGTTTTACATTGAATGAAAAAGATCACAAAAATAAAAAAAAAAGATAAAAATTCGAAAGTTACAATATTTCGGTCATGTAATGAGACATCCAGAGAGGTATAACCTTCTACACCTCATAATACAGGGTAAGATCGCCGGTAGGAGAGACACAGGCCGACGAAGAACATGCTGGCTCCGAAATATTCGAGAACGGTATCGAGAGATCACCGCTAATTTGTTTAGAGCCGCCGTAAACAAAGTTATTATTGCCAATATGATCGTCAATGTTCGATATTTGGAACAGGTACTGAAAGAAGAAGAATATCGGAAATATCTAAGATACAAAGCATAAGAATAATAAGTATATTATAATGTAACAGTCAGTCGGTCAGATAGCTCAGTGGGCTGTGCGGCTGCCTTCATTCGCTTCACTGTCGAATGGTTTAGTGGATGTGGGATCGAGCCAAAGCTCGGTGTACAGAAAACAAAAAGTCTAACGCAGCAGTTTAAAATTCTAGATGAATCTGCGGCTTAGACTAGGATATGCTGGGATCTGATCGGCCTATGGTGGAGCAGTAAGGCAAGAGATAAGGGCTTGCGGCTTGGTGATACTCCTCCATAGATCCCTACCGGACAGGCGTAACGCCTAAAAAACCGGATATATATATATATATTATATATATATATATATATATATATATATATATACTTCTAGCGGTTAATGTAGGCTCCGTACTAAAACGGTATTATACTAACTCCATTAGAATATACACCGTGTATATTATTATCTGAGTAGCGCTTTATGTAGACTCCGACCAACATGTAGGAGTAAGTGGACTCCACAGCAGGGTAAACCATTTTTGGGATCCGTATTTACCATTTTGCGTACACTTCTTAACTCCTGCGATGTTGCCAATAATTATATTAGTAGTAGATTTTCAAATTTTACAGCAGCTACATTTTGGAACTTGAAATATATTTAAATATCGATCAATTTAGTCATGGAGGAATTTCATGAATATTTGGCTAATGTAGTTAAACATAAATTATTAA